ATTATTGTATTAAAACGTGAAGGTGAATGGTGGACAGGAAAAATTGGCGATCGTATAGGAACATTTCCCAATAATTATGTCCAAAAAGTTGATAATGTAAATTTTATCAGAAGTTCCTTTCTTATTTTGATTATTATTTTGTATAGCCATTACAAGAAACAGCTACTGCAATAGCACCATTTCATACAAATGACGAAGGCCGATTATCATTTGAACAAGGACAAATAATTTATATAAGAAAAAAAGGTGATAAAGGATGGTATCAAGGAGAAATTCGGGTAGAATAAATTGAACTTTTTTATTTGTTTTTATTAATGTTTCTGTTTGTAAAGGGTACGGATCAGCCAGTACGTGTTGGTTGGTTTCCAGCAAATTGTGTACAATTACAAAATCTTTCATCACCTTCAACACCAATCGCTTCATATCAAAATACATCAGGTATTTATTGAAAAACATCAACTTAATTCGAATAAATCATATTCTTAATTTTTCTTATTTAGAAAATCTTCGTTATATCAGTATTTTTGCATATGAAGCTCAGCAAGATGATGAATTAAGTTTTCCTGCTGATGCAATTTTAGAAATATTAGATCAAGCAGGTAATACTGGTTGGTTTAAAGCACGATATGGTGATCAGATTGGTTTGATTCCATCAACGTATGTAAAACCAATCGACGAAACTAATTCATGTAAGTTTTAAACAAATGATTTTATTAATAATCTGCTTAAGATACTAATTCTTAAATAATAATAAAAAAAACATATGATTCAATTTTCATAGTAAACTAATCTATACATAGATAATGGGTGCGCGGAAAGCGATGTATGTGGATTTTATAGCTTTGATTTTTTTTTAGATAAGACTAACAGATTGGGAAATTTTTAAATAGAATAAAACACAGCTTTCTTTTTCTGTAATTTTTTTTTACAATATTTTGTTTGGTTAATTAATTTTTGTCCATATTCTAGGACAATGATAATCATCATACCAAAATATCATCTCGCGCGCGTCCAAACCAGGAATATGATGATGATGGTGTTCAAATGCACATATATATCTATATAAGCGAGCACAGACAATTATTATTTTTTTTAATTCCCCCTATTATTTCATTTGTTATTTATATATATCTTTAATCGAGTTTATATACGTGAGCATTATTTTTAAACAAAAAGAAATCCACATACATTCGCATTATTTTCTTCAACTTCTTCCCTGTGTGTGTGTGTGTGTTTTGTGTGACTATCCGTTATT